CCAGACAGTACAGGGAGTGTACCGAGGTCTCACCCAGAACAGTGACTCTTCGGTAGCGGCCGGAGAGATAATTTTCAAACCAACTTAGTAGGTCACCTGTTATTCCAAACTTGTGAAGTTTAGTCAACAAAAGCTTATGACTAACCTTGTCAAACGCTTTTGCAAAGTCCAAATACACAGCGTCGACTTGGTTTCGATTCTCCAACGCTTGGTGAATATCCTGGAGAACGTGCAGAAGCTGTGAGGTGGTTGACTTGCCTCTGAGGAAACCAAATTGTAGATGGTGTAGTTGAGTGGAAATGTGTGATACGAGTTGGTTGTAGACGCAACGTTCGAAGACTTTGGAGACCAAGGACAACAGAGATATTGGTCGATAGTTTGATACATCTTCAGCTGGACCTTTCTTTGGGATTGGAACAATATTGGAGAGTTTCCACTCATTTGGAAGTTTACCCAGAGATAAACTCTTGTTGAAGAGATCACATAGCGATAAATAAATACTGGACGCACAGTTTTTGAGGAGTTTCGCTGGTATTTTGTCAGGGCCAGTCGCTTTGTTTTCATCGAGAACAGCAAGAACGTGGTAAACTTCCTCGGGTGTTAAGGTGATGCTGGAGATGGTACATTCTGAAGTATCAGAGTTCGAGTCACTAGAGTTTAGAAGGACGTTTCGTCGTCAGAAGGTTTGAAAACGGAATAGAAGTAGTGGTTGAGTAAGTTGGCAATATCCGCTGGGTTCTTGGCTGAGCTTGTTACGTCGTCAGGATGAGACCATGACATTTTGTTGGGAATGTTCGAGTGCTTGGAAACGGACTTGAAAATTGACCAAAACTTCTTTGTACTCGATCTCAGTAAGGCTGGGAGAGATTCAAGGAATTTCTTGCGTTTCGCGTAGATCATGGACTTTGTTTTACGTCGCAACTCCCGATACTTTTCCCCGAGGCTGGAGCACGATTTCTGTTTGGCCGCTCTTCTGCAAGTGTCTTTCTTTTGAAGAAGATGTTTAACTTCGCCGTCGATCCACAAAGGTGTGGTACGTCTTTTGAAGTTTTTTTGCGGGATATGTTTGGCAGCAGCACCAAGAAACAAATTTTTCCATTTCGTCCAGTCAGCATCGACATTAGTGGAATCACCCGGAGCAAAATCAAGATGGCTCAGAGTCTCGTGCAAAGCGTTCCAGTCCGCATGTTGAAAGTCAAACACAGTTCTTCTGTCGCATCCGGTCGCCTTGACGTAAAGTAGAACGTCAAAGAACAACAGATGGTGATCAGTAGAGATGCCTATAGTTGAAGGTGGAATGCACGAGAGGTTACCGATATTCTCGGAAGCGGATGTTAGGATGAGATCTAGAATGTGGTTCTGTCGGGTGGGATAGATGTTGACTTGGTGTAGGAAGAAATCTAGACTTAATTCTTTGAAATCTGCAGATCCAGTAGATGGATTCATATGTGACGATTTCGGTGGAAGAGTTGAGCTCCAAGTGATGTCAGGAAAATTGAAATCACCGGTGATTAGGACCTTTTCGTAATTTGTTGTTGTTTCAAGAAATGCCAAGAACAACGCTAGCCATTTGTGACTATCACAACTAGGCGGTCGGTAACAGACACACGCAATACATTTCTTACAGGTAGACATATCGAGTTCGATAGCGACGATCTCTAGGCGATCTGACCAGTTTGGACCATTCCTTCCAGCAGTAATTCTGGTGTAAGGGACGTCAACACGCAGTGCTATGAAGACCTCCGCGTTGGTTACCTCCGCGTTGGTTAGCTGACCTATCTTTCCTTACGATGTTGTAACCTTTGGAAAGAATCTCTTTGTTCGAAAAGTTATCATTGAGCCATGATTCTGTCACAAAAATTAAATCGAGTTCCTCAGCGTAAACCAGGTCTTGAAAGCATTTTAAATTGCTAGCGTATGATCCGTCAGGTAACTTTCTAGTGCTTCGAATACTCTGCGCATTGAATGAAAGACAACGTAGATGTTGATTGTTTGGACCTGGGTTAGTAGCATTGTCACCAGCAAGTACGATCATCAAAAGCAGATGTATGTTCTTAAACTGTAATCCGTAGCGGTGGTTGGTGGGCGAAGTAGATTTTCTTAAAATGTTATCGCGCGTTGAAACCCATAAGTTGCTCAGTCGTTCTGGTGTTGATGTTAGTTCGGAGCAGATCGGATAACGTTCAGGAGTTATTTTGATGTTGACAGGAACATAGACCGGTTTGGATCTAATTGACAGCCAAAAGATTACTGCAAAACACACACACACACCAATGGCAAATCTTTAGCAATTTTTCTTTCCTCATTTTCGTAATCATGTCCAATTGTCTGATGAGTAGTTCCGTAATTGCTTTAATTAGTAAACAATAGTTACGCGCGAAATTGTTTTCTATAGTTTTCGAAAGACGTCAGCAAAACGTTGAAGATACAAACTTCGTCAGCACATTGTGTGGCGTATCACGCGTGCGCAAGAAATTTCAACGAATTTTCCGATTTCAGAAACAAGATAATCACAATAAAACAGCAATGTCACCGTTAATTTTGACCAATTAAAACCAGGTATTCGTAAATAAACTTTGGAAGTACAATGAGTAGTTTTTTATCCACCAATGTACAATAAGTTATACTGTAGACTTTAGATTTTTATCGTTAAATTTTATAGTTTATCGGAGAGCTTTTTGTGTCCGTGCGCACGCGATCACGCGATCCCTGTACGAGTACTGTGTTGGAGATCCTTCAATAACTGGTAGGTAACCTATTCTTGACAGATTTAAAGCTGAAGTATCGTTTCTTAATAGCAGTGTGTTGAATCCTGTCCAATCAGGAAGAAGCTCTGAATTATCAATGAAGAATAGCTTTAAATTAAAAGGCAGTATACCAAATCCAGTTTACTTGCAGATATCTGATGAGTAAAATGGCACTCTTCTTCAAATTCAAGATCAGAACACTGCTCTAACACATCAATGGACTTTTTCTTTCCTATTGAATATGGCATCAATTCACTGCATAGATCATCTAAGCTTTTTCTTCTCGTCTTTACTAATGGTGGAATAGTATTTACATCCTCATTTAAAGCTCTTTGTACTGCAATTCCATTAGTAATGTGCGTAGATGATTTAGACTCTTCCTGAAAGTCATCATTATTCCAAATTAGTGTTGTACTCTTATTTGGAAGAATTTCTTTAGGCACCACTGTTGAACTTTGCGGATTTAATTCTGCAAGAGCTTTGTCATGCCTCAGTGTGGTTGAATGAGATGCACAATGCCCGAATCCATGGATAATCTTCAGCAGTCCGGAAGATCCTGTCATCTGGCGAATTGTCATGCTGAGAGCCAAATGTTCAGGTGTTCGTTTCCGACCAGCATGTGGATCATAAATAATATCTTGTTGTGCCAGGGAAAGCAATTTGGCATTCTCTTCTGCCATTACTTTCGCATAGTCATCAAATCCTGGATCATCAGTCATGCCTAATACCCATGCTAAGAAATTATACAGTGGAATTGGGACCATTTTCCTTGCACACTCTAGAGTAATGCCATAAGATGTTGGAGGCCAAGGTGCATCGAACTCCGGAGCACTTTTGATTAATGTTTGCATGGCTCCGGTATAAAGCAAGTGCTATTTTCAACTTGAAAAGGAGACTGTTGTTGACAATTTGTCTGTTGATTATCTTCTTCGTTATACAACTCATAGTCAGACCCAGAATTACTGGCAGAATCAGGTAAATTATCTAAGACTTCACCAGCAGAGACCGCTTCAACATAAACAAGTTGACTTTGTGTGCATTTAGAAGGGCCAAAGAATACCAGTTGTGGACAGTCAACTTTTAACCTCGTTTTAAAACGAGATGCTTTATAATTAGATGCATCTTTTTCCTCAACATATTGACGTAATGAAGGAACTTTTAAAACAGCTTGGTCATCCGGTATACATTATGCTTTTTATAATTTTTTCAACAATTACATCCTGGCAAAAATTTCTCATACGCATTTAGATACAAATGCCCCTGTCCTGGAGATCGCTTATACAGAAACTGTGTATATGATTTGTAGCAAATCGTATGGTAATGGACTTCAATCGCGACACAATCCTTTCATCTTATATAGTGAAGTACTGACTCATCATTCTTTTGTTCTGTAGCACGTCGCAATAAACCTGCATCAACTGTTTCTGCAGTGTGCAATTTTGCTAAAACACGTTTTCGAGTTGTTTTTGAGTTGAGTTGTTTTCTGAAATAAAAAAACATTATTAGGTCATACACATGACATCAAGCTAAATATATTGCAAGGTAATAATTATAGTATATGTCATTCATATACAAATTTATAAAGTGCTATGTAATATAAATAAATAGGATGGCAAATTTAACTATAATTTCTATACTCCCAAATGCTTACCTTATCTTTTACATATATATTTTCTTTCTTGAATATAATACATACATTTGGAAGAACCTCATTATTTCTCGCAGGAATTTCGACTAACTGTGATATTATGGCAGAACGTGTACGCTTTCTTGGATTAATCGAGGCGGTAGCAAATTCACACTGATTTATTTGCTACTGCTCTACAGCTAGGAGCTTTTGCTGCTTAGATTCCGCCCTTCTTATCTTTGTTACGTAGGTAAATTGGCTGTAACAGTACTTATGGAAATAGTGCTTAGAAAAATCTAGTTCTTCATTAGCACATATTTTCAGACTCTCGTGAGCTATTTCAGACGATGTACCTGGTAATTGCAGCGACTGAAGTCGACAGGTTTTAAATTTAGTGAAAGTTTGCTCGGTAACAGTATTTATCTATTCCTTAACGCCTTTTAAATGGACTAAACAAGATTTGCCCTTTGTCTCTTTGTCGGCCATTTTGTCTCGTTCAAGCCGACTGTTGTCATGGAAACGCAACAGATTCCGGGAAAATTTTCATGTCAACGCCACTGTTGTCATGTTTATGGGGTAAAATACCCGGTGACATGCAGGAAACAAATTAACATGCTGACAGCAAATAATATAGAATTCAATTCGAAAAACTGCGGGGTTTCAGACTTGGGAACAAAAAGAATTGAATTCAGCACACTTCAAAACGTAAGTCTGTATCGAAATATTTTATTCTGCAAATTTGGCCAACGTAACTGCTTTTCTTGAGGACTTTCATGTGGTCGGCCCACGACCTACAAGTATTTAGGTAAAGAGTAGTGGAAAACTGTGGAAGCCTATTCCAGAATGGGGCGGATACATACGGTATAGAATTGTAAAACATCCTGAATCGCGACTTTTGCTTGTTTCAGCTGCACTAAAAGGTAAATCCTTTTGGAACTTTTTGTTACTATGTTATTGACATGACTATTCCACTTCAAATTGTTCGCGATAGTAGGAGGAAAGGGATTTCTATTTTTCGCAAAGTCTATCCGCAATTCTTTGCATTTGTTTTCATTCAATCTGAAAAGGTTTGACTCGGACCACTTTTCAATTTCGGACACTGCATGTTGGATATCACTTGAACCAAATCTGATTACTGTTTCATATACCGTTAGATCGTCTACGAATTTTCCTCGTCTAAACAACGTGTTTTTATATCGTTTATCATCAATATAGATAACCACAGACCCAGCTTGGTTCCTTGAGGGACACCTGCTGGGACATTCCCCCACCCCGAAAAACAGTCGTGTCCTAATTTGGTTCGTTGTTGTCTGTCACTCAGGAAATCTGCAATCCAACTAACAGTGGAATCAGGGATTTCGAGAGATTTCAGTTTAGATAGGACGATGGTGTGGTCCACATAATCGAAAGCTTTTTGGTAATCAACCAAAACAATCCATGGTGGGAAAAAAGACAGCAGATTGGGCCACATTTTTATAACTTTCTGACTTTAGTTTGGAATATCACCAACCTTTCTCACAAGATAGAACTTGCCATTCCTAGAAATCGTATCGTTTTTTGTTTTCTGATTTTGTTACATTTTGGCGGGAAAATGACGTGCCAACTTTGGCGCCAAAAAAATAAACAAGAGCTAAGAACATGGTAGTAACTTTTTTGATGAGATTTGTCCTATAAGGAGCTCAAAACTGTAAAAAAATTCAAAATACGCCAAAGCAGTGCAAAGATATGGTGCTTAAAAGTCTGAAAAATCCGCCATTTTGTTACTAAAAATAGATTTTTTTCGAACTTTGAATCACCATATCTTCGCACTGCCTTGTTGTATTTTCAGTGTTTTTTACAAAGATCCTTTTAAGACATTCTCATTAAAAAAGTTAGTAGCATGATTTTAGCTCGGGTGTAATTTTTTGGCGCTAAAGTTGACACGTCATTTTCCCCCCAAAATGTAACAAAATCGAAAAGCAAAAATGATACTATTTCTAGGAATGGCAAGATCTATCGTGTGATGACGTTTCGTGATATTCCAAACTAAAGTCACAAAGTTATAAAAACTTGGCCCAATTTGCTGTCTTTTTTTTCCCACCGTGATCCTTACTGAAGCTCTAACACCGTCTGTTTTCTCCGACCATTCATGAATCATTTTAATGAGCGCCTGGTTTGTGGACGAGCCGGGAATAACACCATACTGATTTACATCTAAAACTTTAAAGATCGTGGGTTTTAAATGCTTAATAACCACGAATTCCTCGGCGACTTTAGAAAGTAGAGGAGTTAACGAAATGTGTCTAAGATGTTGGTTAATGTCATGAGCTGGCGTCACCTTTGGGACTGGGATGATATTTGCTTGCTTCCAAATTGGGGCTAGTTTGTTTTCAAGGTAGGAACTGTTTATGATTTTCATCACTGGTAATGAAAGAATCGTTGCATTTTCTTTAAGAACCCAAAACAGGATATTATCAGGCCCACCTGACTTCCAGAGATTGAGTGAGTTTAAACAATTCCAGACGTCCATTTCAGACACTGTGAGGACATTTGAAATGGAGTCGTTGTTTGGTACTGTAATTTGCAACGGTTGAAAATCTTGGAGTGGTTCCAGAAACTTGGCATTAACTTTATTTGCAACCTCGATATCACTCAAGTTATCGAGGTCACCAATTTGTAAATTGGAGCGAAGATCAGATTTGGTGATTGTATCCATTCCACTTATTTTTTTAACTGCACTCCACCAGTTCCTAGGCTTAACATGTTTCAGGTTTTTAATTTTTCAATCATAGTTGGAGGACTTGCTTTTCTTTCATTCCCAACCTCGTTCCCAGGGCTTTTCCCTTTTTGTCATTGGGAAGGCGGTAAAAGGCCCTGGCACAGGCCGGTCACATGACTTTCAACACCCAGATATAGTGGGTGTAATAAATTATAATAATAATGAATTAGAAAATCCAAGATGGCCGCCAACCTAAGAGTGCCCACAAAATTTAAGTGCTTAGAGCGGCTTAAAAATGCGTTTAGTCTTTAAAATTTTTCCTTATTTTTGCTACCGACGTACGCGAAATCAGATTCTTCAGCTTTTATTACATGGAAACTATGTAGTTGCTGTTCTTCCAACTGGGTTTTGTAAATATCGTTCGCTAAACAAAATTAACAGATGTTCTCCAGCTGGGCAGGCTTGCCTATAAAGAGGACACGGAAAGTGTTCTGAACTGGGGATGTTAAAGTTGGTTTTACCCTTCCAAAGACTCTGCTGTGCGACGATTGGAGCGAGTTTATGAGGAATATTTTATACAGTGATTCAAAGAAATGTTTTGCATATACTGTATATGTTATTGATCTATTGTTGAATGTCAGTTATATTATAAAGTGCCAATGGCTGGAATATTTATTCATTGATATTTTAAACACAGATGAGTGTTATATGCTCTTTCCTTGTTTACGTTTTCCTTGCAGCCAAATGTTGAAGCTGGCAAGCTGCAAAACTGACATATGAGTGATATGACCCAAATATTGGATATATGCATCTTAGTTTGCTTCCAGTAAAATGTAAACAAGACCTTAAGAATTCTATACGAGATAAGAAATATTCCGTTTAAAATCATGACTGGCAAATTAGCATGTGCGAATTGATGCTTCCTAATAATAGTTTGTACTCCAGTCTCCAGTAAAGCTTGCTTCACGCGCGCTTCAATTCTTGCTGTTACCTTCTGCACATTATCAGGGTGGAGAGTTCATTTGAATTTTTTGTCCCAGGGGATAAAGGTAGGGAATAGATTTTCCATCACAAAAGGGGCAAGGTGCCCAACCAGTTAGAAGATGGCATGTACTTTAAGTGACCATTCATTATACCCTAGGGTGGGGTGGGAGATTCTTATGTCAAAATGTCATGGGACCTCTTTTTAATCTCTTAATTTAATAATGGAGACCCCTCCTAAATATTTAAGACTATATAACATGATGAAATTCTAATCTTCATTCATGTGAATGCCTGACTATGAAGAAAATACATTTTGCAACACAGGGATGGATCCAGCATGATCTGGTAGGGGGGGGGGGGTGTGCTCTGCCAGCTCTGGTGCCGAATTATGTCGGTTATGTGTGCCACCTGCCCATCAACTTGCTTCACTATTGTAATTATTGTTCACAGCTCGCTTATCATCATGTTATTACTCAAATTACTGTATCTCATTTTGCCTGTAATAATTTTTTGCTTTATCATGAAAAATATAACCCCCCTGCACCCACTCTGGCCAGGGCTAGGGGAGTGCACAGCCACCCCCCACCCCCCACCCCCCCCGCAGTAAATCCATCCCTGTTGCAACATACACTACAAGAGCTAGAATGATTGCTTCCTTTGGATGATTTGTCTTAGAATTATATTACCTACTGTATATTACAACAATTCTTCCTATTCTGAAACCAGTTGCTATTCTGTTTTTTACAACACTCACCCCCCCCCAAAAAAAAGAAAAACTCAACAAATCAAGGACCCCCTCCAAGGCAATTTTGCCAGCAAAATAGATTAAATTTGATGGTAATTGTTCTGAGAATATATTAACTCATTGAGTGGCAGCATTCTGCCTAGACTTGCCACAAGTCGACCTCAAACGAAACGCAAGCAGCGAGTGTGAGCCAACGTTTCGTTTGAGGTCGACTTGTGGCAAGTATACACTCTGCCCTTGAGTAAAATTGTCTGGCACCAGACGGAATAATATACTAAAGTAGGGACATTGCCACTATAAAGGGTTAAGTTAAACAAATTTTTAAAAATTTTGCAATGCTCTATATTCAAAAAGCTCAATATGTAAATTTTAATTGACTTTAATTAAATTAATATAACTACTTATACTTATAGCTACCTTGCCCCAGTCACTTCAAGTGAACTCTACGGGAGGAGGGGGACATTGAAAATCCCTGGGTTTACTTGGTAAAAGCAAGAATTGAACCATGCATTACATGTATATGGAGAGCAGTTTTAAATATATTTTATCATGCAAATACCTTGATAATTGTTCTTACACGTCTTTGGCTTAGAATGGGTACACCCTCCAAAGGTCTTATTTACAGGGTCCAAAGGTGTAAATATACACTGTCCAAGGTGTTAATATAAGCAACAAAAACAATGTATATAATTAAATTTTATTAAATAAAATGTGGAATATTTTACAAATTGCATTACCATCCCAAAGTGTACATAATTTATCAATATAATTAGGACTTAGAAGCTGTTCACATGAGTTTGACGCACCCTTGGCTTAGCTCCCCTTGCCCGATCACAAGTAGAAAACCTCCAACCCCCTCTGACAAATCAGTCCAGATCTGCCCAAGAGGCAGGATTTTCTGGAATATTATTAGCAGTGAAATTGTTGCATATTTTCAAGCATGCATTGTAACCTGATTTTAAAGCCTGTTTGAACATCAGACATTGTGGCAATGGCAAGATGGTTCAGCCACATGAATACAATCTTAAAATATCATAAAAACAATGCAATTTAAGGCCAGACAGCCCAACTCCTGCGAACAGTTTGAATGCATAACTTCGGCTCTGGTTAGACAGTCAATGAGATAGTCAATCATAGCTAGGTTATCAGAACCGCAGCAAGGACAATTGATGATATCCCTCAAGGCAGTTTTCTCGGGCGCAGTTTTAACCAAAGGACCTCAAATGATGGACTAATTAAATTAGACAGGATTTCAAGCGCCATAATGAACTAAATGTGAGCGAGTAGAGAGGATTCGGTGAATTTGATAGAAGCTTATATTGGGTGGAAATGTTTTGAATCGAGTCAGTATACGGTCCGGCTAATGGCAAATCGTGATACGTCAAAACCCTCAAGAGCTATATGTTCAGGTAGGTTATACTATTTTTAGACTTGTGGAACAGAAAGTCATTCTATATTTCATTGTGTGCATCGATTTTATATTGTCTGTAATAGAATATCGTATAATATCGGGCACCTTGGTTTCGTAAAATAAGTTCGTTGTGCGTGCGCCATTTTGTCCGTGATTTCTGGCCATATCTAAATTTTCATCGAAATATCTTAGCAGTAGTGAATTAGTAATCCGAAGTATTTCTTATGGAGAGCACATTGTGGGAATTAATACTCTCTAACCCTTTATTTCAAAGTTCAACAATTGCTTACCAGAACATGTCAGTCCTCCAAAGCCGTTCTTACATGTGTATTGACATCTTCCTATTAAGTCAGTACAAATTGCAGCGTTCGTTGGACATGCGCCCTTTTCAGCACACTCGTTGATATCTAGAAAATATACATAATTTATAATTTCAAAACAATTGTGTTTACTATCAAACTGCAAATGAGACTAAGAGTGAGAAAACTTGCACGTTCCAATTTAGAATTGATGAGAAGCAATTGGAAACTTTGTAGGCGCAGAGTGGTTCCCCTTGAGTAGTGTAAAATGATAACAGACCTCCGAGTGAGCATGAAGTTAGAACATCGTGCTAGGGTTGCTTGTTGTGACTGTTGCTTTGTATGCTATGTCCTTATATTAGTTATGCATTGTTTTTGAATTGGGCATATTGCCTTTTTCGGACAACTGCAATTGACAGTGCCCTTGTCCTGTGCCTTGTTCTTCCTAGCTATATGTGCATTGTGCTTTGTGATTATAGATTTAAAATTGTTTTATGTTAATGCAGCTATGGCTTACTTTCACTGTATTCCTGTTACAGATCTTATGCAACTTGTGGTGCAATGGATTAAGGAAATTCCGCCCAATATAAGTGGAGACATTCATGCTAAATGGTGAATTGAAACAAATGATGTTACGTTGCCTATTTCTGCGTGCTTGCTGTCATGGGCGAAACTAGCCCCTTTTAATTAGGGGATGTCTGCTAGAATATACCTTTCCCCTTTTAATTGAAATTTTGATCTACACTATAGCCTGGACACAAATTTCACCACAGCTTGAAAGAGCATCACAAAATTAGTAATATTCCGAAGTTTCGTTGCAAACTGTTGTAAAATGCGGATGCTATAGCCTTGCGAAGTTTGCCGTTTTTCAGTCATTTTGCACTGCAAACGAGAAATCAGATGATCAAACTGATTATCAATTTCCCATTTGTAACACAAAATGACTGAAAAACGGCAAACTTTGCAAGGTTGCATTATCCACATTTTACAGCATTTCGCAGCGAAACTTCGGAATATTACTAATTCTGTGATGCTCTTTCAAGCTGTGTTTTTGTGATGGTCTTTCAAGCTGTGAAATTTTTGTCCAGGCTAGTCTAGATCAAAATTTCACTTAAAAGGGGAAAGGTCTATTGCCCTGCGAAAGCCGATGATGCCTTGCAGCAATTTTTTTTTTGGGGGGGGGCACTATTTCTTTCAAAAAAATTGGCAAACGGGGGAGGGTCGAAAAAATATTTCCGGAATTTTCACACTTGCCGCTTTCGGGTTAGTAGAAATGCACTTTCCATCTCATGCTTTTGATAACGTTTTTCGCCTTTTGAATGAGTTCTCTGTGGTATTCGTCGTATCCGTGCAAGCCTATATTTCTTAGTGAATATATAATATTGAAGACTATTTAATTAAAAAAAATAGTTGATGAGTTGACGTAAGGTAGAAGAGCGCTCAATACCATAATTCCCGAGCCGACGGCGTGCGAGGGTACTAATTCCCCCTTGCTATAGCTATTTACACCCGAGGAAACGAAAGCATTAGCGGAGTCTGAAGTTAATCAATTATCGCG